TTTTCTTTTTTTGTTAATAAAGAAACATGGTTTCTCCTTGAGCATTGTAGTTTCTTCACGCTATTGCCTTCATAATTATTACACTACTAAATCAGATTACATATGCTGCACCACAACATTACATTTCCTAGTACAAAAATAGAATCAAACGGTTGATTCTAATAGCAATCTAATTTCACAAAAAATGGACTTCCCATTATCAAATCTCCTCATTTTTCTTTTGCTTTTCGCAACCCGTGCCTCGCCGGAATATACCCGTCCGAGTCCCCGGCCGCTTATTTTCCGGCAACACGACCAGCCAGAATCCGACCCCCAGCAGGTCGGTTCTTTTTCCGCCATGCAATGCATATATACCATTAAATTCATAATATACACAACTCTGACTACTTCTAAAATTTTTCTTTCTAATTGACGATATATATTTGTTCGAATTTTCAGGTGCACGTCTCGCTCGCTGGAAAGGAACATATACGAGTGTCGTGGATCACTACCGACAAAAAAGTTCCGTCGGTGGTCGATTACGGGACGTCGCTGGAGAAACTCGACGGCTCGGCTTCCGGCGAGAGCACTTCGTATAGTTACTTCCTTTACCAATCGGGTAAAATTCACCACGTGAAAATCGGGCCATTGGAGCCGGGCACGACTTATTACTACAGATGCGGCGGTTACGGCCCTGTGCTCAGCTTCCGGACGCCGCGGGCGGATTTTCCGGTGGAATTCGCTGTCGCCGGTGAGTATGGCGGCCGTCGTGCCTGACCGTTTTATCTTTTTTGTAGTTTTGCAATTGTTTTCCATTGGTCGCGTGCGGTTTTGCTTTGCTTTGCTTTGCTTTTTCAGGTTAAGTGGTATAACTGAAAAGATAGCCTTCAAGCAAAGGCTTGAGTCTTAGAATTTGCAACCTTTTTATTTTTTACTTTACTTTTTTTATATAAATTTCTAAGGCTTGAGTCTTAGAATTTGCAACCTTTTTATTTTTTACTTTACTTTTTTTATATAAATTTCTATTTTACTTTAGGTATAATCATCGTAATCTGGTATCAGTGTATCACCAATTAACATTTAATATTGTTGGTATAAACGCATGATATTATATATATAAATTTTAATGTTAAATGAAAAAAAAATAACGGTATTTATTATGATTCAAGTTCTCAATGATAAAAATTATTAGACTACAAATTTCTAAATTTCGATTTTTTTAATCAATGATTAAATTCACCTTATGTTTTTTTAAATCACTATTAATCGTTATTTTATCCTGTATTTTCGATACCACTCTAATTCATTTTTTGGTAACACGTTCATTTTTTATTTTTTTTAAGTGTATTTACACTGGAGCAATGGTAATTGAGAGCTGGTATTAATATTATCGTCCGACATTTTAATTGTTACATTATAGATCTCATTTAATTCTTCTTATGTACATTTTATATTTTGTTAGAAATTCAATATTTCACTAATTTTGTGATGTTAATTGGTCCATATAGGTGACCTTGGACAAACAGAATGGACTCAATCAACTCTATCCCACATCGGTGCTAGGGACTATGATGTTCTACTTCTTCCCGGGGATCTATCCTATGCGGACACACAACAGCCCTTATGGGACTCATTTGGCCGCCTGGTCCAGCCCTACGCCAGCGCTCGTCCGTGGATGGTCACGCAAGGGAACCACGAGATCGAAATTTTCCCGATCATTCACCCGCACGGCTTCAAGGCTTACAATGCTAGGTGGTTGATGCCCTATCGGGAAAGCGGGTCCACGTCGAACCTCTACTACTCGTTCGACGTGGCACGGGCCCACGTCATCATGCTCGGGTCTTACGCGGACTTCAATTCTGATTCAGATCAATACAAGTGGCTGCAGGCAGATCTGGCGAGCATCGACAGAGCCATCACGCCTTGGGTTTTGGTGCTGGTTCACGTGCCATGGTACAATTCGAATTCCGCGCATAAGGGGGAGGGTGAAGGGATGAGGAAAGCCATGGAGCGAATGGTGTACGATGCGCGTGTGGACGTGGTGTTTGCAGGCCATGTTCATGCGTACGAACGATTTGTAAGTGATCACAATTCCAATTTCGACAAGATTATTTGTGAGGGACTTCGTATACGATTCGCGTACGTAAAGTTTGTCAGAGTGTCGGTTATTGAACTTTTTTCGACTGCAGACTAGGGTGTACGACAACAGGGCTAACGAATGTGGTCCGGTGCATGTTACCATTGGGGATGGAGGAAATCGAGAAGGTCTAGCTATGACGTAAGCACTTCTAACTCGTCTTTCTATTTAGAGCACTCAGGGGGCGATTGAATATGAGTTATGATTCAATTTATCCGGTTATGGACAACCAGTTGAGTTGTTTCATATTCAATCGCCTAACTCAAAATCCAGCTCAACTCAATTCTTTTATTTTTTATAAATGTAATTATTTAATATCAATCATTCTCACACATCATATCAACTTTAGTTCACTATATATCCGCTCACATAATTTTAATTATTTATTAGTCCATATAATCTCTCTCTCTCTCTCTTCTACTTTTCATCGCATCTACTTTAACCATTACATTTTAAATATTATATAATTCCAAATTCACAATCATCCACTTATTTACTTTATTCAAAATAATTCACGTTAACCAACCAAGTTGGGTTATAATCAGTTGGATTCATATCCAATCGTCCCCTGATCAATTTCTTATTCCACTATCGATTTGATGTGCTCGTATACAAAAAAGGAACACTCCACACACAAAAACGAATAAAGATTCAAAAGTATTCGACCACGATATCATTTTCTCTTTATCTTTTGTGTTTTAATATATTCTTGTTGTTGTTGATGTTACAATAAAGGTTTGAAAGCCCTAGTCCTTCAATCTCGGTTTACAAAGAAGCAAGTTTCGGGCACGGGCGACTGAGAGTGTTGAATAGCACGCATGCACATTGGACGTGGCATAGGAACGAGGATGACATGAGCTCGGTCGTAGCCGATGAGATTTGGTTAGAGAGATTGGCCTCGTCATCTGTTTGCATGGATGCCAGAAAGCCATCGAAAATTCTAAATGATGAACTATGATGTATGTATGAGATTTTGTTAATGTGGAACAAGGGGCAAGTCTTGCAATTTATTTTACAGAAAGTGTTGTAAGTACTCATTTGTTTGTTAGCGATTTTGATGCTAAGTTAGAGGATTGAATTGAAATTTTTTGTTAGCGATTTGATGCTTAATTAGAGGATTGAATTTTTTGTTACCTAGCTAGCTTGTTTTGGTAGAAAAACAAAGATACTTGATTAGTTTTTGAAAACAAATGATTAGTTTTTGAAAACAAAAATTGTTTCATAGTAGCTTTTCCAAAAATTGTTTC